TGTATTATGGGCCAGACTTTGCAAATAGATCGAACAACTTGTCCAGTAAAATGAGTCCCATGATCACTGTGTGGCTCAGAATGGATTCCCCAAACTGGAATGATTCTTACTAATAATATTTTGTCTCCTGATAAGGTAGTAGTCCTCCGACAAGGAAATGCTTCCACTCAATGAAAAAGTGTACAAACCATGACAAACACATATTTATAATTTTGAGATGGAAGCATCTGGATGAAATCTGACTGCCATACTTTAACTGATCCTGTCGGCAAGGGAAAATGACGTTGGGAGCCATGCAAGGGCTTGCCAGGGTTATGTTTTGGACACATGGCATATCAGGAGTATACCTTTTGGGCTATTGTAGGGGATGGTTTCCAGAAATACTGTTTTCCCTACGATATCATTTTCTCAGGGGCCCAATGAATCATATCATGAATAAACTGTGCACCTACAGGAACTATGGGCCATAATTCTCTACTTGGGTTAAATACACCTCCCCTTTGCTGCCAGATTTTCTTCTCCTGAGGGGTTGCTGCCTACTGATAATTGTGGGAGAATGCTGGTGAGGGCATGGGCGGGACAGAGGGTACATTCTCGTACAGGACGGGCCGTCTTTCCTGGGGCAGCACTTTTTGCTGCAGTACCAGATTATTCCCTATCGCTTTTTCAGTGTTAGCTTCTGAGCTGCCAGGACTTTTTATGATTACAAGCTTCTCTGGCATTTGGAATGCTTCTATTACAATAGCTCCAAGACTTAATGCCAGTTTTGTATAAGTTGCCCAGGTGAGGTGAGAAACCCGCTCTGTTTCCATAGCATGCCGAAGTCATGGGCTGCTCCAAAAGCAAATCAGCTGTCAGTGCGTATATTTGCCACTTTTCCTTCAGCCAGTGGGCAAGCTGTGGTTAATGCTATTTATTGATTCAGCCAGCTGGGCTGATTTTCGTCCTTGGAGTTGGGCGCTTTCAATTATGTCCGCCATGGAAGGGATGGCGGAGCCTGCCTGGAAACGCCCTGACCATCCCTTAAATAAGAACCATCTGGGAACCAAAGTAATTCAGCATTCTGTGGAGTAGTCTCCTGGAAATCTTCCCGAGGGGAGAGATATCAGTCAGTAGGCTGCAGTTATGTTCTTCCTCTCCTTGTTCACCGGGAGAGGGAGCAGGGCTGGGAGGGTTACAGCAGGGCTACGCCAGGTTGGGGGCAGAAAGCAGGGGCACTCCACAGGAGGCAGCTGGCAGAGTAGTGTCGGGGGTGGTGGGAGTGTAGGAGAGATTCCACAGAGTGGGGGGGGTATACATGGTCATCAGGGCCCCCAGAAGAAATGTTTTGACCTTCTTACATGAAATGGCCATAGCCTATGTGGCCCTTATACAAGGGGGGAGGGATATTCTCTTGCTACTAGGTCTAACTGTCAGCTGAAATAACCAACTGGCCTGTGACTATTAATACTCCTAGAGCATGTCCATCTATTTCATGTACACAAAGGGAAAATGGAAGGCTGTAGTTGGGGTGGCCAGCACAGGTGCCTGGGTGAGAGCCTGCTTTAAGTCCTCTATGTGTTTCTGTTCCCTGTCTTCCCAGCAGATTGGGTCCAGATGGGTCTGTTTTAGTTTTTTTATATAAGGGCTGGGCCATTAATGAATAATTCAGAATCCAACTTCTGCAATAGCCCGTGAACCCCAAGAACCTTCTTAATTGTCATTTTGTTTGGGGCACGGGAAAGGTCACGACAACCGGAGATTCTGTTCTCTCAAGGTTTGTTATTAGCCCTCTCTGGGAAATCATATGTCCTAAGCAGTTGCCTTGATGGAGACAAAATTGCAACTTATCTGTGGACATTGTGTGTCTGTTCAGAGCAAGCTGTTGTAGCAGGTGCATTCTGTCTGGGAGGATGAACACAAGTCACCCACATGCTGAATTAGGATAGTTCTATTTAGAAATTGGGTATCATCTAAATATGCTTTTAATATGAAAAATAAGTAAGACTCTTGGAATAACCCTGGAGCAATACTGTCTAAGTATGCTGGTGATCTTCCTAAATGAAGGAAAAATGTACTGGCTATTCTGCTGTGCAGGTTTGCTGAAGAAGTGTAAGTGGCTGGCGTTGGTAGGAATACCGGACAGCAAGGTATGGGAGTTAGGAACAATAGGATGTCCAGGAATCATTATTTTATTTTATGGCTTAGAGATACTGAATGAATCTTGAGTGGCTTTTTGTTTAGTTTTCTTTTTTTTCTTTTTATTTTCTTGCCTTTTTTATTTTTATTTTTTTTCCCCCAAGACATGTTCTCACTCTAGCCTGGGCTAGAGTGCAGTAGCATTATCACAGCTCACAGCAACCTCAAACTCCTGGGCTCAAGCAATCCTCCTGCCTCAGCCTCCCGAGTAGCTGGGACTACAGGTGTGCACTACCTGTAGGATCCCCTCCCCTAGTGGGCTTTATTCTAAAAGGAGCAACTACTACTTCATTTTCTCCTCTAGCTATTTCTGATCCTTTTGAGGTTTGAGGTGAAGGAATAGGGGAAGGATGAGGAGGAAAAGTGACATTGTCCAGACAGGAACGTGCAGAGGGTTGGGGCAGTAGAAGGAGAGAGTTTCTGGCACCTTCCTGATTTCAGAAGCAGCTTCAGCTAGTTTATTTAATTCCAAGACAGTCTCAAATATTTTCTTATTAACTTCCTGGAGGGAGGCAAGTTCATCATTTCTCTTTCAGATGATCCCAGATGCCAGTTGTAGTATGACCGTCTTTCATTTTCCTTGATTCAGGAGCCTAATTTCTCTAATTTATCATGCCAGAAAAACTAATTTGGTAATCTCGAAAGTTCCCCATTTGGGGAAGCTTAGACCTAGGTCATCTTTAGTAAGAACTTTCCATTTACACAAATACTTGCAAGTAAAGGTGCCATAATTATCAAACATAAAAGCATGGGGGGTGGGGTGCCCCCAGGGGGCCGCTCTTCTTGCCTTTCCTCATTCTTAGAGGATTTGTTTCCCATTTTTCTTTAGAAGAAGGAACCAGACCGTGGCCTGGGGTTCAGTGTAGTGGATCAGAGTGTGCTGATTGTGGCTGGGACTCCACAGTGTGTCACCACTCTGACGTGTCTCAGTTTCTGTCTTTGGGGATATACCACCTCTGAGGGGGCCCCCAAATGCCAAGTGATCAGCTCTTATAAGCATTTCCTGGATGAGCTTTCTTTTAATTAATTTTGTTGGCGGGTTCCCTGTAGGGTCACTGTGTGTCTTTGGGGAGTCACCCCAGACACTCCCACTGAGGCCCCTGGTCACCTTGAGGCACCTTTCACCTGGGAGGAGCAAAATGCCATTCTCTCTGGAGCTGAGAAACTCAGTCTCTCATTTATTTATCTATGAAAAGGACAGTTCAGTTTCTTGCACAAATGCACTGATGAGCCAATCGAGATTCATTTGGGGAGGAAAAGGCAATGGAGAAGGCCCTGATAGAATGCACCTCTGAAGCAACATTAGGATCCCAAACAAAACTTCCCAGGAAAAGGAAGCTCGGTCATGTCCAGACAGCTCAGAACATACCAGGGCTCATCAACCAATAGCAGGAGGTCAGGGCTCAGGAGGACTTACCAGTTCCACTTGGGGAGAAGCTCAGTGTCTGGGGGGCATCAATGGGCCCATGCTGGAACCTTAGTGCTAGGTTTGGGTGACTCCTTCTGGGGTCCTGAGTCTTCTCTTAGCCCCACACTGGGTGCCAGGAATTGTTGATGCTAAAACCAAATTCTGCCAAAATATTTAATGAGGTTTATTCTCTCTCTCTCTCTTTTGAGAAAGAGTCTTGCTCTGTCGCCCAGGCTGGAGTAAGTGGCGAGATCACAGCTCTCTGCAACCTCAAACTCCCAGGCTCAAATGATCTTTTTGCCTCAGCCTCCCAAGGAGCTCGGACTACAGTGTGTGCCACCACACCAGGCTAATGTTTCTATATTTTGTAGAGATAGGAGGGATCTTGCTATTTTGCTCAGGCTGGTCTTGAACTTGTGGCCTCAAGTGACCCTCCTGCCTCAGCTTCCCAAAGTGCTGGGATTACAGGTGTGAGCCACCTCACCCGGCCTAAGAGTGTTTATTCTGAGCCTAATACGTGCAACCATGGCCTGGGAAGCAGTCTCAAGAGGTCCTGAAAAAATGTACCCGAGGTGGCTGGGTCGCAGTTTGGTTTTATACATGCATGGAGATTAGGGGTTACACGTAAAATTATAAATCAATACATGGAAGTTGTACATTAGTTCTTCCCAAAAACATGGCACATCTCAAAGCGGGTGCTTACAAGTCACAGGTGAGCTTTAGGGATTTTTCAGTTGGCAGTTGGTGGAAACTGTTAAGCATTATCTAAAGACCTAGAGTCAGAGAAAGGAATGCTTAAGACAGGGGTATGCTAGGATGGTCGAATTGAGAGAAGGGGGTCTGCTATCTCATTTGATGCCATTGCAGAGTCAGATTGGAAAGTAAGCTACATTATACTGAGTTAATTAAAAAAACCCAGTTAATGAGATTTTGTGGCTTGTAGAGCATGACTCACCAGTCCTCTTAGAAAGAAAATTGAGCAAGAGAAAAAAAAAAACAGTTCAGAGTTCAGTCCTTAGTTCCAACTCCGCACATTGTGCTAGTGTTGCATTGGTAGTGCAAGCGGCCTGGGCCAAATGGTCTTGCCATGAAGACAAGCAGCCAGTCACCATTAGCTGGAACTTGTGTGAAAATGAAAATTCTATCTGGAACTTACTCGTGTGAAAATAAAAGTGAAGAGGCTAACACTTTCAATGCCAGAATTCAACATAGAATTGTTTCATTGCTTAATGAGGTAATTGAAGGAAAGTTTCTGAAAGTTCTCACAGCCCTGGTTTAATTAATAGTTTAGGAAATGCTGATTGGGCAGGAGTGAAAGTTACATGAAGCCCTCGTGTGTGTGTGTGTGTGTGTGTGTGTGTGTGTGTGTGTGTGTGCGCGCGGCCTGGCCCTTTGCCGTGTGCTGTACTGGGAGTTTTGAGATTTGTCCCTGTTATGAGTGGCATGGACAGAGGCCTCACAGGGTCTCCAGAATTCAGGACTTTGTACAGCTGGCTGCCCCTGAGCCCTAACCTGAACCCCAAACTTGATCATTGATGTTGTCTCATCGGAATCAGACTCCAGCTGCAGCTCAGCGAGATAGGATCACAGCAGCCCGGGCAGGCCAGGGAAGAAGGTGTCTACCTAAAAGAAAAAACTGAGGCAACATTAATATAAGCAGAGAGTTTATTTGACCCACTTTGAGGACTGCAACCCCAGGGGCATAGATTCAAGTTTCCCAGAATATATACACTCTTGATTACCAGAACTTACTAGTGGGTTTTTAAAGGAAAACGAAATAGGCAGTTCCTAAATTGTTTACCAATAATTTACATCAAAATCACATAAGCTACAGATTGGCTATACACTGTTCTTTGTGCCACAAATTCCAGGAACTTGAAGATAACAAGTGAGCTGCCAGTCAGGAACAAAATGTCTTGAAACAACTGCCCCCAAGCATGGGTGTGGGAGTGTGACGAAGTCCCCAGCTCCTGTCTTTCTGGGACTGATAAATTTTGCATATCTCAGATTTGCTCAGTTCAGATTTGGCTGGGCTGTTGCTTCTTGCAGGCCTTGGGACAATGGGAAGCTGCATCTCCTGCAGTTCACTTGTTCATCCCTATTGTCGAGGGACCTTGTAATGACATTGGAATTGGGAGCCTAGAGAAGAGAGTAGGTAGAGTGGGGCATGTCTCCTGTTTACTATGTCATTTTAATTGCTGGCACCTCTGATCTGGCTCACACAGGCAGGATTTCAAATGGGGACTTTAAACATTTCTCCTCAACAGCCGTTCTATCGGGTTCCTGTTCTTGGAATCGTGTGGCAGCCGTGAACATTTTACCTGGGTTTCATTTCTCTGAACTCACCTTCCTTCCCCCTTTAATTCTCTTCTAAAGGCTCAGTTCCTCTGAAGACAGAAAAGACACCCACCCGTAGCACAGCAGCAGAGGTGTCCCGGGGCAGGTGAGGGCAGCGGCTCTCGTGTGCCAGCTGGAGATGGCGGGCAAAGTCCCCTAAGCCACATGGATAGCTGCAGAGTATCAAAAGGCAACATTACGACACTTTCCGTGTAAAGATCTTTATTGGCTCTTATTTTGGATTCTAGCATCGAGTGACACCTCGCTCCACAGAACAGAATGAGTGTTCCCATGAGTCGAGCAGAGGACGTTGGCTGTACACACAGAGAAGGGCTGAGGGAAGCAGAAATTGAGACCGAAAGCCAGATTGGTTGTTTCAAAGTTACTTTTCTTATAAAGATGAAAGCAGAGGGGACTTCCTTATCCTGCCTGCCAAAACTGGCCTCCTGGGGATTTGCCTATTATCTCTCTTCCTTCTGAATTCTTGGAAGGTCAGATAAACGACTTACCTCTGGCTTGGTGGCCTGGGCCTTCAGCAAGCGACTCGTCTCTGTCCGGTCCGTGGGGCCTGGTGCAGGAGCTCAGCCCAAACCAGTGGCCTCCTACGAATTTTTATTTAACAACAGATAACCTACAAGAAAAAAGTCAAAACTCGACTTCAGCACTGAAGAGAGTCATTTAAAACACTACGGGTCTTTGGAAACAAGGTTGTTTCTGACAGGTGCCATCTGTGAACTCCAGGAGAAGGTCCCAAGGGAGGAAGTCAGTCTGGATTTGCCGACATGCATCCGGGACACGTCGTTTTCAGGGATGCACCTGCTGCTTGCACACACGTGTGACGCTGCATGCTGTCACTGACACAGGCTGTCATTTTCATTTTCTTTAAGATGCTGCTCAACATCACATTCCTACCAATTTATCTCAGGCCCTGCCCGGGATTGCATTAATGCTCAGGAGCGCACAGCTTCCGAGACACGCGGGGCCCCAAGGCCGCAGCTTGAAGCCTAGAGCGAGCTCCTCTCCCTGTGACTGTGGCTGCTGAGGGCTCACACCTGCACCTCTCCGGGGGGTGGCCCTTGGCTAGGAGAAGCTGCGTCACCCAGACTAGCCTGAGAGATTCGCCCCTGTCGCCCCCAGGGCAGCCCCTGTTCAGAGGCAGACTGGGGAGCCACCTGCAGCTGGGCCTCACCTGAACGCCACCTTTGCTCGGACGCGCCCTGTGCTTCTCTCGCTTCCTTATAGATTTTTCTGGGGATCTTTCCTTCAGTAAGTCTTTTGCCCAAAAATCATGCCTCAGGCTCCCTTCTAGCAGGGGGGACCTAAGGCACCACTGTCAACAGGTGGGTGTTGATGGAACAGGCCACCGCCCCTCACAAGGCTCAGGTGTGGCAGACGCACATGGACCTCTGTGAAAACATGCTAGTCACATGCTCTTCAGTCACCAGGCTGAACGGAAAGTAAAAGGGACAAACATCTGTGTCCAAGCTGGTGTTTGTCATTTATTCTATGATATTAAAAAAACAAATATCGAGAATAAATGACGAAAATATATATTGCCACTCTGGTTATATTAGGAAAGAGAAAATTGGTGATGTGTTGGAAGGACCACTGGCTTTCTTTCCAACCTGGGAGAAAATTTTTAGTAATAGAGAAAAATTAAAGATCAATCTCACTGGGCCTCAGGGAAGATCCCCTGCAGGCCTTGACCTCTCCTCTCAGCCCTGCATTGTGCCGCTGGCCTCCACCCTGCTGGGGCTAGGGCCACGTCTGCTCGTGGGCGGGAGGCTCGGACCCTCAGCTTCTCCCGCTCAGTACCCTCCTCCGTAGGTCATCTCAGCCGCTCTGAGGCTTCAGGCAGCAAGGCTGTGCATCCTACTGCCCGGGGCTGTCCTTCCTGGACACGACCCATGGACGCGACCAGTTCAGAATTTCCAGTGTCACCACCATCATTTTGGCCCAAGACCTGCCCCTCAACTGTCTTCATCATGAGTAGTGGGAACCCACTCTCCATGGTTCTGACCAGAGACATAAGTGTGACACAAGTGTCGTCATCTGTAAAGCAGAATGACAATGACCGATGACTTATGACTATGGTAGACGACGTAAAAAGCAACCACACAAACTCTTTGTTGCATGGCAATGGCCATTTATTTTGCGCACATTTGCAGTTCAGTGGGCACCGGCTCTGGGCGGGCACTGTCTGGAGTGGCTCTGACTCAGCCTTTCATCCTTCTCCAGGGACCAAGGACCTAGATTCCCCGTATTCTGTCGTGGCAACCTCGGATGCTTTTTAAGCCCTTGGTCACATCACACCTGCTGACACTCCATTGGCTAAAGCAAGTCACACAGCCCAGCCCAAAGTGGCGTGATGGAGAAGTACACTCCACCACGCAGGATGGGGGACAGGGAGGGGATGTTTTTGAACAATAATCTAATATGCCACAACAGTGTACCCCATAGGGCATCAGGGAAATTAAATGAGACAATATTGTGAAATGCTTAGAACAGTGCCTGGAATCTACTTTTCTATTATCTATTTACCTACTTACATATCTATCCATCTATCTATTATCTATCTAGTTATCTATCTACCTCCCTACCTATCATCTGTCATGTGTCCTTTTTATTCCCTTGTCTTTCTCCAGCAAGTAAAAATTGAAGTTCTGTAAAATTCTCTTGACTATCTTTTAAAGGCATCCGTGCTGCCATGAGGAAGCTCATGGATTTCTCCTGACTGAGCTTCCTTTACAGTGTCTCGACTGTTCTCCTGTCCCGTGCTATCCAACCCCCTGCAGCAGACCAGACTGTGATGCTTGGCTCGAAGCCACCAGTGGCTTCCATGGCTTCAGTGACTCCCAAGTGTCCTTAAATTAAAACTCAGGGTAGTGCTTGACATGACATATAACACATGTGAAACTGCCCATGACTCCGGCAGGAAGCACACAGTCTAAGGGATGAGATCTGCATCATCTGGGTCCCGCTGTGGGTGGAGTAGGGGGTCTCTGCTGTGAGAAATGTTCAGAACATTCTGCACGTGTCAGTTATCTACTGCTGCATGAGAGACCACCCAACACTTACTGGCTTAAAACAACATGATCTGCAATTTCTCGCAGTTCTGTAGTTGTCTGGGTGGCTCTTGTGAGGGTCCCACCAGGGTTCACACTGTGGCCGCATTTGGGTGGGGTGCACACTGGGGACATGCTCCTCTGGAGCCAGGTGGGCATCCCTTTGCATGCGGTCTTCCATCCTCAAGGAGGTGAGACGATCCTTCTTTACATGAAGACATTCCAAGACCACATGCCAAGAGCCAAGCTCCAACATGTAAGCCTGGCTGCAGCCATTGCAAACATCATGTGTGCTGCTGTCTCAGTGGTCACACCACCAAGCACAGGGTGGGAGTACGGATGCCTGGGGGGGGGGCGGATGCATTGGGGCCATTAATGTTCCCACTGCCACATCCTACATGGAATCCAGTGATGAAGTCATGAACTTAAATATTCTGATTGCACAAAATACAGTTTTTGAGACTGTAGTTTCAGGAAATATTTTAGCTCCCCCTCATGTGTGGACAGAGATTAGGTATCCTCAGTGAGGACACCAAGGTGCAGAGGAAAGAACTGAAGCCCAGGACCCTGGAGAGCTGAGTTTGGCCGATTTCCTCGTATCCATCCTGTGGTCTGGTCACTCCACTCCTTCCTGGCTGGCTTAGAAAGTCCTCACATATCTAAGAAGTAATGAAACAAAACCAGGGTGAGCCAACCTGGGAAGCTCCCCAGTTCTGATTCCATTGTTTCTCCTGAGCATCAGGGTATAAAACCAAACATGGATTCCAGTTCTGGAATTCGTCTGCACTGCCCAGGAAAAGGAACAGCCACGAGCGGCTCTTTGCAGCCCCCTTGCCTTTCTCTCTTTCGGAATCTGCCTGTAGGTTCAGCGCATAGTGTGAGGGGAGAGCTGTCCTCCTTCTGTCGGCCCTCCTGGACGCGCTGCCGTGATGTAAAGTTTGGGGCTGGCGCCTGGGCAGTGAGGAGCACGTGCTCCATGCTGTGCTTCCCACAGGCCGTGAGGGTTGCTGACCTGTGTCTGGTAAGAGTCGGTGTCTCTGAGTGATGGGCACCAGAGAGGGTTTGCTGAAAGGAAACGTTTAATTCTCTTGTTTCTAGTCTTTACAACAACCACTGTAACCGCTTAGTATGGGACTTGGGTTGTTATGGGGGCAGCAAAGGGCTCTCTTTGACACGGAAAATGTCGGGCGCCGGGACACGGCCGCTTGTCGCCTCCCTGTCGCTCTGCATCTCCGGGGGCCAGCGCTGTGGGTGGCCGGTTGGAGGGCACGCTGCTGGGGCCGGCCCGAGGTAGAGCCGCAGGGGGCCTCCACGTGCTGCTGGCCCCGTGTGCTGCAATGCCCCCGGCCCACATGCCGCTGCATGCTTCTGGGCCTGCGCACTGACCCCCACTGCCCAGGCCTCCCTCGGTGCTGGGCAGCTTCCTGTCATCCAGCCGCACTGCTCGCATCATCCTGATTGGGTAATTTTTGAATCTCACTGTTGCTGATTGGATGTTAAAGCTTGTAGTTGATTGGATGCTTTTTTGAGCCCTACCAAGGGTATAAAAGCAGGAGGAGACCAAGGAAGGGGGGCCAGAAGATCAGAAGATGAGAAGAGAGCTGTAACACTTGCTGGGTTGAGCCTACCGGAAGAATAAAGACTGTTCTCCGACTCTTGGTGTGCCACTCAGTTCTTTCCCCAGTCAAGAGCTGTAACACTAGCTGTACACTTGCCGCAACAGCTTCGGAAAAGAGTGGAGAAGATGCACATGGAAAATGGGCTAAATTGGGCACTATCTGGCTGATGTTCCATAGGAGAATCCTTAACATCTCAGTATCCAACAGCAACAAGCTTTTCCTGTCCTGCTCTCCAGCCTGCAGATGGCTGGTCAGTGGGTCTGGCCTGGCTTGGCCTGTGTCTTCATGCTGCGGCCGGTGCAGAAGGGGCCGTGCATGTCAGGGCCAGGTTCTTCCCATGGAGGCTGGGAGGGGAGCAGGAGGACCAGACAGCCACACGTGCAGGGTTAAGGTCTCTCTGTTGATAGGCTATGGCCCAAGCACACTGCATGACCATGCGGAGGGCAATGGGGGTATGCCCTGCATTCTCTGGAGAAAGAGGCTGCACAGCCGCGTGGCACAGGGCATGGTTGCTTATCAGCAAGGGAGACAATTGTCCATCAATCCTGCCCCTCCTACTTGAATCTGGGAAAACACTTCTCCTCTGTCTGAGCTATGACATGGCACACAAACTCTCAGAAAGCCTGAGAATTTCATGCTGGTGGTGGCTGAACCTCTGCTAAAGAGGCCGACTTTTCTCAGTCTCATCCGTACATCCTGGATGTCTGGACAGCCTGGCTCCTAAGAAGGGAGCCTCCATGTGACAACAGCTCCCCTCCCAGGGACTCGGTTTCCTACTTTATGACAAAGGGCAATCAAAGACCATGACCTCACAGAGGCCTTCTTGGGCCTACGTATTGTGATCCATTCATTGCTGATTATTTCTGGCGGAGATTAACCTC